GTTTTGATTGCTGGCAGTGAGGTCTTTGTCGACCTTTTGATAAAAAGAGGTGTCAGAAAGTTGCCGCAAAGGTTCTTTTTGGTAGAGGTCAGTGCGCCAAACAACGACTGAGCCACCCTTATCGGCCGCTTTGATAACTATGTCTTTGTGTTTTCTAAGACTTTTTAGAGCCGACCACTCTTCAGAAGAGAGATTAGAAAATTTGGTAATACGTTTGAAATTGAGTTTGTTGATATCGTGGCTGCATTTTTTGATACAAAAGTGTAATGATGCGAATTGGCCCTCTGGGGGAGTCCATTTAGACTTTCGAGTCTGAAGTGTTTCTGAAGTGTTTAGAAAGAGCCAAAACCTACATGTATCTTCGTATTGATTTTGATGAGAACTTAGCCTGGGATTCCCATATTGACAACATTGTCAAAAAAGTATCCACTGGCCTCGGGGCTATCTGACGTGTCAGAAGCTTGGTTCCTTGTGAGACTCTTATTATAATTTAAAAAGCTCTCGTCCAACCTTACTTTGATTATTGCAGCTCCATATGGGGCAGTGCATAGGTATAAGTCAATCTGTGAGACTCCAAAAATTACAAAATAGGGCTACACGCTTAATTACCTTTACTGACTTAAATATTAGATCCTCCACTTTATTCAGTGACCTCGGTTGGGATTCCTTGGAGCAGAGGCATTCTAAGCAACTAGCAGTCATTTTGTTTAAGACTCTTCATAACCCTGCTCCAACTCATTTAAACAATCTTTTAAAATCTATATCCAGTGTTCACTCGCATAATCTGAGAGAGTCAAAATACAACCTTTTTGTTTCTAGACCGAGTACTGAGGCAGGTAAGCGAAGTTTCCAATATCATGGTTCTCTTCTATGGAACAGCCTGCCCTTGAGCATTAAGCTACAGCCAACTCTTTGTTCCTTTAAGTTATGTATTTGATTAATATTGATAAGTAATGAAATCGTTGTTATAGTATAGGTAATGAAATCGATTTTATAGTCGTTTAAAACCTTGTGCAGACAATTAATTTAGTTAGATATATTATTGGTTAATTAAACAACAACAAACATATGAAACATATGAGTGAACTGCGGTTATGAGACGTATATAAGAACGATCCTTCGCAGTAAAGCACTATTTGAGCAATAGTGGAAATCAGACCTGAAAAAAATTTCAGGCCTGTACGGGATTCGAACCACTGACCTCTGCGATACTAGTGCAGCGCTCTACCAATTGAGCTAACAAGCCAACTGGGAGCAGGCCATCAAATTAATTCGATATAAACCCGTAGATGATAAATCGAACAACAACAAACATATGAAACATATGAGTGAACTGCGGTTATGAGACGTATATAAGAACGATCCTTCGCAGTAAAGCACTATTTGAGCAATAGTGGAAATCAGACCTGAAAAAAATTTCAGGCCTGTACGGGATTCGAACCACTGACCTCTGCGATACTAGTGCAGCGCTCTACCAATTGAGCTAACAAGCCAACTGGGAGCAGGCCATCAAATTAATTCGATATAAACCCGTAGATGATAAATCGAACAACAACAAACATATGAAACATATGAGTGAACTGCGGTTATGAGACGTATATAAGAACGATCCTTCGCAGTAAAGCACTATTTGAGCAATAGTGGAAATCAGACCTGAAAAAAATTTCAGGCCTGTACGGGATTCGAACCACTGACCTCTGCGATACTAGTGCAGCGCTCTACCAATTGAGCTAACAAGCCAACTGGGAGCAGGCCATCAAATTAATTCGATATAAACCCGTAGATGATAAATCGAACAACAACAAACATATGAAACATATGAGTGAACTGCGGTTATGAGACGTATATAAGAACGATCCTTCGCAGTAAAGCACTATTTGAGCAATAGTGGAAATCAGACCTGAAAAAAATTTCAGGCCTGTACGGGATTCGAACCACTGACCTCTGCGATACTAGTGCAGCGCTCTACCAATTGAGCTAACAAGCCAACTGGGAGCAGGCCATCAAATTAATTCGATATAAACCCGTAGATGATAAATCGAACAACAACAAACATATGAAACATATGAGTGAACTGCGGTTATGAGACGTATATAAGAACGATCCTTCGCAGTNTGCGAAGGATCGTGCACATATACGTTTAATAACCGCAGTTCATACATATGTTTCATATATTTGTTGTTGTTTCATATTTAATTTACTTGTAAATTCTTTAATCAGATATTTAACCAGAGGCCAGTTTCTTGAAGGTCCTGGTAATTTAATGGGCCCATAAAGCTGTAAAGCTGTTCTATTTTCAATCCAGATGGGTGTTAAAATGTTTTGAAAATTGTAATTTAAAACTTTCATCTAAAGAAACAAAATGGACTAGTTAAGATGCCAGAACCTGCTTCTTGATTCTGTAAAATCATTTGATTCTAAAATGTGGTTTCAGGCCCATTAATTTACCCAGTAGGCTTTCAAGAAATGAGACAGAGGAACCTCATGCCTAATAAAAAATAGTAATGGCCGTAATAACATGTATTTTTAGCTATTTTAAGAAAGTCCTAAAAATGTTAAAATAGGATGAACATGTTACAATAATATTCTAGAGCTGTGTAGCAGATACATAAATTTTAAATATTTTGTTGATAGCCCATAATTAATGTTTGGATAGGAGGCAGGAAAACATCCAAACAACTTAGACATGGACCACTTATTTCTCAAATAATTTTTATAAAAGGTGAAAAATTTGGCTCACAGTAATAACAAATAAAATATAATTATGCTGGAATAACAACATTACAAATCAAATAATATTTCTAAGAGATTGATTGCAACACCATAATTTAGTGTCTTCTTTTCCCAAATACAGTGCATAATGTAATACCAATTGCTTGACCATCGCAGAATCGAATTATCGACAAATTATGACAATCCTGCCAAGTGATATTGACATAAATGTTTAAATATAATTTATATATTAAGGGATTCATTCAAACCAACTGTGGGTTGTATAGGTAAAAAAAAATTGTTAAGTGAAAAAGGCCTATTTTATCTTGTATTTTATTGTATATGTCATGACAAATTACTAGTGTGTAATTCTGTTTTTTTTCTGACAAAGGAAATATATTCAAAAGGTTATAAAAATATTATTTTCCCTCTTACCCATCATATTTTTTGTGAAAAAAGTGAATCTACCACTCCTTTTAGAGGTGCACGATGGAGTAATGGATTAGGGGACACACCCTGATTGTATTTTATATATGAAGTAAGTTTTTCATGATGAGTAAATGTTTGTTACAGCAAAACACATGAGCTGCTGTTTTGGTCTTGCTTGCAGTGTGAATCTTTGCTCTTACACATTCTGGTGGACTGACTTTTCTCACCCTTGACTGAATTCACATTGTATGAGTTCTCATCTCCTGTCAAAATGAAACAGCAAACCATAAGCCCACAACTTATGAAGATTATCTATTAGTAAGTTTTAGTATAAGTGCAATCATCCTTCCACCCAATGGTTATCACTCAATAAACATTGGGTGGTTACAGTCAGGAGGTTACACAAAAACTACTGACATTGGGTGGTTACTAGTCAGGAGGTTACACAAAAACTACTGACTGTTCAAAAGAAGGGTCACCATGCCTTGGTTCCAGTAACCCAGCTAAGTAAGTGAACAGTACAGGACTCATATGATGATGGGGAAGAGAGAAAAAGTAAAGCTACTGTTAAATCATCAAACATCAATAAACATTTTGAAATCTAATTACCTAAATATTCACCCATTTCCACAAATTAAATGGGAGCAATCTCAATATTTTTCCTTGGAGAAGCTCAAATGGAGACAACTCATAGGAAACCAAAGATGGCCATAATGGGGGTTCATATCATTAGTAAAAAGGAAATTTATGGAGGAATATTACTTATGGAGAGAGGGAAAAATTGAGAAAAATCCCACTTCCCATACCCTGAATGCTTACCAACAGTCCCTGCCTGCGCCTGCTATAAAATATTGTGAGACACCAAGAAATAATTATAGGGAATAATTTTGACATAAATTTTTCCCACACTTCCAAACCTTATCTCTCTCATCTCCTTTTCTCTTGGTGTCCCTCCACCAATTTGTGATTCTGCCCAGCAGAACACAGTCACGTTCATTTAATTTCATAAGATAATCCTAACAGTGTTCGGCAATGACGCTTCCGTTTGGCCCTTTGTGTACATGAAGTCATGAGCATCTTAGGGTAAGGTTCCTCGAGGGCTGTCCGGTTAATGTAAACTGAAAAAGCTGAATTTGACACCTAGTGATACTCAAGCTTGATCTACAGATCAACTTACCTCAAACTATATGTTAAACTTCGAAGTAAGAATAAGAACCTTGCTGTTGCATGATGTATTTAAGCTATATTCACCTCGTATTAAATTTTTCTTGTTATCCCAAACTTCGATGTAATTAACAGCACGGCCACTACCAAGAAATGTTCTGTCGTAATAATCAGAAATTGTCAATTCCTTCTGTTCCCCCTTGTCAATGCGAAAAACGAAATGATATACGCCAGGTTCAAGAGCTGGACAGACACAGAAACTCCCTCCATCTGAATTCCACTGCTCTAAGTTGTAAGTTGAATATTTTCAGTTTTCAACGGTAACATCGTTGTCATCAAAGTGGTCCTTATAAATATCCTCTGCTTTGCTGATCAAAAGCTCTACGTGCTTCACGTCTACTTGAGTTCGCGGCTTCCAGGCAAATCCAGTTGTGATGTATCCTGTTTCCATCTTTATTGGTAAAAATCACATTGTCGATTAAGGTGATTACTCAAAGAATATCCACTAAGGAGGTAATATTCTTCATTTAAAGTACCATTATTGTGAAATGGCCTTGAGTCTCTGCATTAATTAAATTTTACTTAAAAATCTCGTGACTGGTTCTAAACTCGTTCCCAAGGCTCCGAAGTGTCCAACGCGAGACGAAATGAGTAAACAAGATGGCCGCTTTAGTGAGGGCCTTGATGACGAGAAGCACTCAATTTCGTCCGCTTTTTAAATTGTTTTCAACAAGCACGTATTGTAGAGCAGCACCAAATTTGCGAAAGGAATCGTACGAAGTAAATCACGAATCGATTTTTACGGAAGATCATGCAGAACTCCGAAAATCTCTCAACAAATTAATCGAGAAAGAAATAAACCCCTACGTTGACGAATGGGAAAATTTGAAGAAGTTTCCCGCTCATGAAGTTTTCAAAAAGCTGGGATCTGCTGGATTCTTTGGAGTGAATAAGCCCACTAAGTATGGTGGATTAGGATTGGACTATTCTTTTAGTGTGGCAATGGCTGAAGAGTTAGGTCAGCAGTTTTTTTTAATTCTCTAATGTTTGATCAAGTGTCTTCTCTGTACCAACAACAACATCTTTCTATTTTGGTTGGTGACGAAAATGTTGTGGTAAATCCGTTAATTATCCCCTAGCCAATGATTCGTTTATTTCCTACGGGACAGGGATTAAACTTTGTAAGGAGACTCAATTAGAGCGCTGTTCTTGAATGAAAGAATTAATATCGAGGGTAGATATATGACTCCAAAGCAGCTACTATGAAGGGAAGCCTCAGAGCTTGGACATTCAATAGGGAAGTAATGTATGCATATTATTTCAAATAGAGATAGTTTAGAAGCAACCCTCGTATATATGCAGAACTCTTGACTTATTATAAGGTTGGACAGTCAAACCTGTATTTAGTAGCAATGTGTTCAGTGGTCACCCTCAAACAACATCACCTGAAAGCATCTTCTAGTTCAGCTCATTACA